AAATCTTAAAAAATTTCGTGATGAAAAAGCCGATCCGAAAAGTGGGACTGTTAGAAATGAAGAGGAGGAATGACAATGAGCCGAGGAAATTCGAAAAGGAACAGCAGCAGAGCTATACGGTTGTAACATCCAAATGCTACCAAAAGACCTTAAGATCCACCAGCGGAAATAAACGCCACTCAGTGATGGATAAGACTGCTAAGTCAGACGCTAATATACGCCAAGCACGGGAACATCTAAAGCGTATCGATGTTAGCAAATCGATAGGGAAGCAAGAAGCACAAGCAGCATTCGTCCACCAGGTCCCCGAGCAGCAGTCCTCAGCAACGAATCCAGCACCTCGAAGCAAGGTGTGCTCGGAACAAGCCTCAGCTCTTACTCTTTCTTCAGCCACGGTGAAGACGAATAAGCTTAGTGGATCAAAATTGGAAAAGAAGAGTGGGTCCAAAGAACGGGTGGCCCGACTTAATGGGGACGCATCTGGAAATGAATGTCATACTGACGAAGCATTTACGAAACAAGTGAGCGATACTATGGATCTGAAACTAATTAATGAATATAGACGCACCCAACGCATTCCTAAACCACAGGCAAAAATTCCTGCATGGAATATTGATGATGAACCAAAACAGACAGCTGCTGGGGGAAAACAGAAGATACCGAGGTTGCGTGACGAAGAAACCGTTAGTGCATCACTACCAGCACCACGTTTTATACGTTGTCGTACGCCAGTACCGCGCGTTGTCACCGCCACCACGCCGTCCACATTTTGCGGTGATACCGCGCACTTGCGTCACGTTACTCCGCACCTACAAATGTCTTCAAAAAGTGTTGCCACAACATATCGTAAAGCAGTAACCTTTACGCAAAGTTCACAGCAGCAGCAGCAGCAGCAACAGCAGCAGTGGCAGCAGTCACCTACTAGCTGCTTCGGTGTTGCGCTGAAACGCATCGATCGCTTCGGCACATTGCACAGAAACAATCCGCGTGGCGCTATAACACAAATAGCACCCAAGAAACCATGGGTACCAAAATGGCGTCGCATACAACGGTACACTTCTTGCACATTAGTTTATTGCATTTTTTAAAATAAACTTTTAATTTATGTTCATTTTATTCAGGTCGGCGGAGCACATAAGCTCATAAAAGAAGTGATTTACTTCATTTGTCTTCCGGCTAATTCTGCCAAATTAGTATCAGCAAAGAATTTTTTTTAAAACTTTTAACGCAGCTTAGCATGACTTAGCAGGTTCTTCTGCTCCTCTGGTATTGCTCGAACTGAATTTGGCGTCCCACACATGGATTTTAACGTTCTCTACTTGATTTAGGTGAAAAACTTAATTTTTAAAGACTTAATTTTCTCGGTTAGACCGAATTTTTAATATTGATTTAGTTACCTTAATTTTTCTTCACTTATTAAAAAACTTC